GGATTCATTTGGTGAAGAACTTATAATGATTTATTACAGAATTATCTTTGATTCTTGATGGAATGATTCAAATGATTTTTTTTATGTTGCCTTATACCATGGGTCCATCATCCAGGTTAGCTGATATAAGACAGAAGCTTTAGTATGTCTGTGTGTGGTTAGAGCATTAAATTTCTACATTATTTTGTAGAAGTACTATAATACAAGGGTCCCCAACTATAGGCTGCAGCCTACTATCGGCCTTCAGCCAGCTCAGAACCAGGCCTCAGAAGCAGTGAGCAAGTACACGTACAACTGTACATGCGCAGGCAAGTGAGTGTGCGCAGCTGCATTTGTGCAAAAGACATGCATGCATGCCCACCATTTGTGCAAATGGAGATGCACTTGTGTGGAACCACCCCCTCTTCCCCCCCCCCAAACCCTAAGGGTTGAGACCACTGCTGTAATACATTTCTTTACTGTTGGACCTGATTAGAAATACAGATATGATGAAGATAAATAACTGTTTTATACAAGCACAGGAGAGGTGTTCATCCAGGGGAAAATGCAAGCCAAAGGGATAATTCCTGCTCCTCAGATTCCCCACCATTGATTTAATCTGGTTCAGCTCTCATCTAGTGCTCATAAGATTATGTCTTACTATTATTTAATTTCATTCAAAGAAGAAAAGTGAAACAACATTCAAATACACTATTCAAAAATGATTTGAAAAGGAAGATTCCCACTGTCACTAAATAAACAACGATCTTCAAGAGTGTAGTTGTTTAGTCGCTTCTTCTATTTATTTTTTTCTCCATTTATACGATGTTATGCTTATAGCTGTAAAATTGGGTATACTTTTCCTTTGAATTAATTATCAATTGTCATCTCATTTATAAAATATTCCAAACTGTGCTCACATGGATGCATAGTCTTAAGACAGGCTCCTGTCACATAATTCCATTTATTCCTCCATGCGTGAAGTCTCTGAGCCTGGATAAAAGAGTGAGTGACACCCAGTAAATACAGGATGCAGATAAGGAAGATGAATAAGAACAAAACACATGTGCATGCATTTTGTACCTTTGTATCTAGCCCTCCTGCAAAAGATTGTTTTAGAAGGATTCTCTGAGTTGAGTATTAAGGTTTGGGAAAACTCATATCCTTTTCTTGGCAAGATCTGATGATCCTACTGCATTCATATTGGAATTTAGTAGGATGCCTCTTTATTTTAATTACTCATTTGATATCCTTGGAACAATGTTTCATAGCTTAGCTCCTTTCAGGCAGGAAAGCATTGGTCTCAGTGCCTTGCATGTCTGCTGAGGAAAGGAAAAAATGACCACATGAGAATCATGACAGCATCATGCAAATATTGCTTCGTATGTACTTGCATGAGACATCATGACATTATTGCAAAACTTGTTTTTTGTGCTGTGATATTATGGTGCACTTGTTCTAACATCATTGTGGTTTGTTACAAACATTGTTGGATAAAGCTCCCTATAAGACCTAGTGATGCAGTAAAACTACATTCCAATCGACCAGTAACCTCATTGCTAATATTCCTAAAGAAAGTGCATGCAGCAAAAAGTTGTGGTGCTCCAACACTGGAGGTTTTTATGAAGAGATTGGACGAACATTTGTCTGAAATGTTATAGGGTTTCTTGCTTGAGCAGAGGGTTGTTGATTTATCATTTTGATATCTTAAACCTTGTATTAGATTGGGCAGGTATACAGCCACCTGTAGGTTTCATTCTGACATAATATTTCTATGAAGAATATTTTTATTGATATATCCCTAAATGACTTTTCACAATAATTCATACATTGTAAGAGGGAAACAAGAGTTCTAAAAAAGGAAAACAAGTGATGTTAACCTTTTGATGTCTTCATAGTTTAAGACATGATTTTTCTAGATTTCCTGTAATCTGATATGCTCAAATGCACAAATGCACAGTGTGAGAAGTTACTAATAATATAGCCCAAGTTGGAAAGGAACACAGAGTTTTGTTTTGTTTTAATTCATTAACAACTGTACAGTATGTTTTTAAAACTTTATATTTTGAGAAAGCATATAGGAAACTGATTACATTGGAGATGTTGAGAAATAATTTCCAAAAATGTATAAATTAGAGAAAGTTTTCCTCCGAATACTATTAAATGAATGAGGAAAATAGAATGACACATTTTTAAAAATAGGAAACATGAGGAAGGGAATGAAATTATACTAGACAGAGGTTTTGTTTTGCTTCATTTTGTGCCTTTGAGGCATTTTGACTCCTGGTCAAATAAATACATGTACCCGACAATATGTGGCAACCCAAAGTCCTTAGCAATATTTTTAGAATTGCCATTCTCTTCTTCCTAAAGTTGAGAGAAATTGGGCCAAAGTTACCTAGTTAGTTTTTTCTGTCTAAGGCACGGGTGACAAACTCACCGCATCATGTGACATGTCGTGACATATTGTGACTTTTTTTGCATTGTGGAAGCTGGGGTGGGCGTGGCTTCCGCATAATACAACTGTCCCATGGGCCCACAGTTTGACACCCCTGTCTAAGGCAAGACTAAAACTTGAAATATCCTAATTTCTAGCCCAGTGTCTTTAACCATTATACAGTACTGACCCTCATAAATCGTACTAGATATATTTGCCCATGCTATATTGTGGAGGTCCTCGCCTTGAAAAACATACCCTAACTCAAATCAGCCCAAGGTTTCCTAACCAAATTGTGATGCATACTGTACAATACTGCCTCTTCATCTGCCCTAGTATCTACAGTGTTGAATTTTAGGATTGAACTCATATTTTAGGATACCAAGTCACAAGGGTCAGCCTCATCACATATTGCTCACCCTTTGTAAGAAACTACAGCTTAGTTAAAAACCATTCACAATTGGCTTGTTTCCAGCAGTTGCATTTTCATTTCCTCTGTATCGTTCTCATTCTCATCACGAAATTTTCAATGATAACTCTTTAATCCTTTTCCGAATCCTTCTATCTCAGTAATGCTTTGCACGGGGTAGTATTCTATTGTTCAATTATGAGATTTAAAAAGCATTTATGTATGCTATCCGGTATCACTAGCTGTAGCTCTGTAGATTTCATAATTAGATATCCCTATATATGAGAACACACAAAGCTTTGCATTTCATTTTCTCTGTACATTCCACATTCACCTTATCTGTGTCATTGAATTTGGCTGCTGTCCAAATAAGTTCTAGCAATTGAATTGTTCCTATTTGTATTTGAAAATTCCACCCATTGACACTCTTCTCTTTTCTTCCTGCTCAAAATTTCCACCATTCTTTGATTGTATTTGAACTCAGGGGAAATCTGCTGGCAATCCACCTCTAGCTTGACCATAAATGACAGATGAAAAAGTGGGACACAAGTGCCTATAGAAACAAGTCTGGAGGACATCTAATGCAGTTTGGTCTTTAAATTATGCTGTTCATTATTGTTCTGTTTCCTAGAGATTTCTTAACCACCCCTTTTTGCAACACTTTGGTGACTATGAATGCATGCTATACTGGGTAGTGTGTTGGTCAACACTTGGGAGATTGGGCTTAAAATAACTATGTACTTAGCAGTAAAATGTGTTTCCTTGATTTTGAATTAATCAGATTTCAGCTCATCGTCTCTCTTAGCAGTTTTAATAACATGTATAACCGATTTTTTTAAAGAAATATTACACAAGATCTAGCAGGACATATGATCAGATTTTCTGAACTTATCTTCATAACTTTTGTAATTGGTCAATATGAGATTCCCAATATGATAGTTAGAATCCAAACAAAGCCTAAACCTGGGTGACCAATATAGCCATAGGTCCTTGACTATGCCACCCATCCATCTCAGTTTTCCCTGTTATGCAGAAAAAAAATTAATGAGAAGAAGCTTTGGAAGGATTTTATTAGGAGCCAGTGAAACTACTAAATATAAGTAATTTACTGATCCCATTAGATATCATCCCATAGTTTTGAGTGGGAGCTATCAGTTTCCAGAATTCTTGGATGTATGAATTTTGATGTGAGTTAATTAAACCAGTCTAACCAATAGCATAAAGCAATAGTGAAGCTACGTCCCATCCCATGGTTGATAAAATTGTCTCATTTTGGACAGAATACATGATATAATCATATGTTTTGTTTGCCAATATGAGTTTTCTATTTTGATAGAATTCTTTATTAAAAGTTCATTCCTCTGGCAGTTTTGCCAGGCACAGATGAACCGAAAAGGGTTCACTGAGGATTCTGGTATTTATTTTAAAAATTACAGATTGCATTCAGAACAGAATGGCACTTTTCAATTTACTGTTTAATTTAAGGAAAAACAGATAGCTATAAAGGGAAAATAAGTATAATTGGTAAGGAAAAACTGCAAATCATATCTGAATATTATTTCTTTCAGTTATCTTCAAAGGCAACCATGAGAATATTTGCATACAATACCAATTAATCTGATGTACTTTTTGGGGGCAACATGAACAACTTTGGACAAAAGTCATGTTGTAACCCATGCCTTGCTTGTGATGCAAATTCAGATTAGGTCTGTTGACATAAAACTGAGATGGGAAAAGATGCAAAAGTCGGTGGAGCCAATAGAAATTTCTAATTTCCAAAATAATCCATCCTGTCCAGATTGTTGTATGCCTCTCAGAGTCAGTTTTTGTGTGATGGGTAGCTATACAAATTATATAAATAAATACTCCATCCTGAACAAATTATTACATTTAATGAACATAGCAAAAAAAAAACCATAAGCCACCATAGATTCTGCTGAATTTTAGTAAGATAGTAAAATAATTCAAGGAGTGGGGAAGAGAGCAGCTAGCATATGGTGTCTCTGAACCCAGGTTTTGATCTTCTCTTTGTGCCCTCTTAAGTTCATCTGAATAGGGATATGCTATGTAAAATTACATCTTTTTTAGGGATGCTTGCTCCTACACTTCTAATTGTAAAATAGGATAAACAAAAATGCTTATGTTCCAATAGATATATACACTTGATTTCTGCAGGTAAAGAAAGTTGTGCAGCAGGAAGGTTTTGGGAGGAAGAAGAGAGGATACAGAAATATCAATGAAATTGACATCAACATGGATGATCCTTTATTTACAAAACAGTGGTACTTGGTAAGCAGACCTAACACTTTCCTTCTTCACAGCAGGAAAATGTATTGCCAAGTATAAGGCCTTCAGACAGAACTTGGAAGAAAACAATGGAATAGTTCTGAAATATAATTTAGTTATTTTTGGCAAATTATAAGCTCTTTTAAATCCCCCTGTTTTGCCTTGGACAATTTTAAATTAAGAAAGTTTTGTATGGATAACTTAGATGGATTTCTTCATCAAATTTCAATTGGCACACTGCAGTTGGGACTGAGCATTCCCTTCCCTTCCTTTCCCCTTCCTTCCCTGTCTAACATGGAGCTACTAGATTAATACTGCAGATGGGTTCCTGAAAAAAGAGATAAAGGGGGAGGACTAGGATGAAGAAATTGTATGCAATATGGAAAATATACCTTTGAACTGAGAGGATGAACACATGATGCAGTAATAGTCTGCTTAGGAGACTTACCAAGGAAAGTGTGGGCCAATTGTCTCACTAGTCCAATATAACATTTGGCTGAACACAGAGCTGTGTAAAATTTCAAGTGACCTGGTCATTTGAAAACCCTGGCAGCCATTCTGCCTGTTGGCTTACTTGTACTGCCCTGGATAAAAGACAGATTGATCTCCATGTAAAATTTGTCAACTCAGTCTAAATAATGGCTAACACAGCGGTGTGCTAACTTGCAAGGTGTGCTTTGAGGACAGATGACAGAGGCAGGTAGCTCATTGCTTTTGTGGACTCAGATCACTTTTCCATAGCTGCCTTCTGCCTGCTATTCTGTTTGTGCCCACATTTTTTATGGGCTCAATTGCAGCTACATTAAGTGTAACTCTTTTACACTAGTCCTGATGATAACTGACTCCACTGAGTGAACATGCCACTTTTTAAGCTACTTTTTTAAGAGGATTAAGTTTCTCACTTGCATATAAATGATTTCTGTATCTAGTTACCACTAGATATCCATATGGGGGCAAGGGTTACATTGCTGGGGTAATTAATATATACATTCCCCCTAAATCACAAATGTCCTTAAAAGCACAAGTTTTGTCCTTATAATAAATCAGTGTGTCCTGTTCCATGAAGAATTTTGATGTCCATTGTAAATAAAAGGCTCAGGCTATGAAGCAAGACTCATAGCAGCAATTGGACAAGACTAGATATATAGACAAGACTAGATATAGCAATTCAGGACCACGGCCAGTTCCACATATCTGCTTTGAAGCTAGCAACTACCGTATGTAATTACAGATTGAATTGTGTTTATTTATCAAATACATATGGCTGCCCATCTACCAGAAGGAACTCTGGATGGTGAACAAGAATAAAGACAGGATTTTATATCTAGGCTGGGAAAGTCTTTTGAAAGCTCTGCCTTTCGAAGGTTATAGATAACTTTCCTTTTTTAGGGCCCATCTGGAGTCTTGGCTTTTACAACAGCTTCTTCTTAGTAGATAAATGAGGAGGTAAACAATAAGAACAGTGAGGAAAATATTATGAAATGTTTCTCAACCTCTCCTGCTAACTAGAAGAGGCTAAATAGTAGTCTTCCAAGTCACAATGCAGCAGCAACATTCCTGGGTGTCACATTGGATGCAAGAGAGAAAGCCAGTTCAGAAGAGCAGGATCAGGGCTTCATGTCTCTTAGAGCATCTGTGGCTGGTGGGCTTTTGGTCCACAATGGCATTTAAAACCGTTCCTCTCTATTTTTACTTTGCCCTTGATTTTATTACTCTCTAAAGTTTGCATATCAGGTCTGGCTTTCATGAATATTTTAATGCAGACGGCTATGCTGCTTCTTTTTATGTATTAATTTGCTATTTAATGAAGGTTGGTTGCAAAGTCTCCTGTGGAGTTATAACAAATACTTATTTAATTTGAAATTTAATTTGTTTTGAGTGAGAGATCAACTGTATTGCCATGTTTTAAGACATGGCTATCTGGATAGCAAATGCATTTATCTGTCTGATGAGACATAAAATTCTCAGTGGCATAATCCTATTTTATGACAAAACAGGAATGAATACTGTGTTTTCCTTCTCAAAAAGAGAAGTGTCTGGATTCCAAGCTATCTTTAAAGAGTTTTATATATATAGTCTCATTCTCCTCATCCACAGATGTTCTGGAACAGGAAGCCCTCCGCATGCTCAGAGCAGAGACCCTGCCGTTTCCCCATACTTCATATGATCAATTGTTGAGTTGTGCCATTAAAACTGCATTTCCAATAGCCCTTCACTACAACAGTGGCATCCATCAAACAGTGAAGTCTATTAAGCTGGTTGCATTGTGACTTAAATGAGATCCACATTTTATGCCGGTATTTGTAGATTTGTGCCTCTTTTTGGGCTGCATTTCCAAGGAAATGAAAGCCATTTGGTGGCAGATGAATCAGAAAGAATCTCAGTGGATGTAAACATTCCTCTTTATGCCAAGCAAATTAGTCTCTTATGCTTTTTGTTTGAAATGTGATTCATTAGATCAACACTGGGCAAGCAGATGGGACTCCTGGCCTTGATTTAAATGTGGCTGAAGCCTGGGAGCTGGGCTACACAGGAAAAGGAGTAACGATAGGAATTATGGATGATGGTAAGTGAAAAATAAAATATCGTGACTCTCTGTAAATTTCACCCTTTATTGTAACAAGGAATGCAATTTAATATTAAAACTCACTCCATTATTCACTTCCTTCAAAATTCTGAAATGTTAATTAAAAACCTTACAAGATATTCAGACATAATTTTTAATAACAAATCATCATCCAGACAAAGTTCCCTTTGGATACAGTCTGTGCATAATGATAACTTCCTAAATCCAGCCTACAGTAAAGCATTTAGTTAAAGCGCGTTAGTTTACTAATTTGGAAAAGAGCTAGCAGAAGTAAACATTGAATTAATTGCATATTGGTATGTTTTTTGTTTGTGTTTCCCCAATGTATTTCTAAAAAGAAAAAAAAAAGAAAAAAAGAAATTTTAATGCCTACCTCCATTTACCTGAGCTGGATTTTTAGACTGCATTGTAAGCTTTCCCCTCACAGTGCTAAAAATAATCAGAAAAGTTGCTATGCTTGAACAAATCCACAGGGACTTATTCTTGCTAATACTGATGCTCCACTGGATAAATGAGGCTGCTTGTCTAGCGATAGCACTATCCATTTGCACATGACTCACAGTTCCCTGGCTCCATAGAGCAACTTGTTACATTTTGCAGTGACTGAGCACAACTGAGAGTTTCTGTGTCCAAGATCTCCCCATTTAACTTTATGCGTCGGGGATGGGGTGGGGGACAAGGAGAGCATAGAATGGAAACACTGCAACTTTCTATCATCTAACTGTAGATAGTTATTGATTTGCATCACTGAAAATCGTAGGAACAGCTTTTCTGCAATCTTAATTCCAACTATTTTGGATGTCCCTACAACCCCATGGTTTTTATCCAAAAAAGATGGCATTGTTGAGGAATTAGGTCATCATTATCACCATCAGTCCTGATTCAAAAGTATACAGACCCACATCTACTGGATTTAAATGCAGATTAGATCTAATTAGTTTTGCACTTTCATATTATGTCAAAATTTCTCATAACTGACATCAAAGCACAAATCTAAGAAATAATATGGAAGTATATTTTAGACAGTTATAAATACCAACTGATATGGAAGTAGAATGGAATAAAGAAGGGTGTCAGAGTGAAATAATCTCCCCCCCAAAAAAAAAATCCAATTGGAAACTCAGCAGAGCTAAGCAATGGTGCAAACACATTTTGGGGATTTAGAATCTCAGCAAAGATGAAAGACAGGGTGGAGGAAGAGGCTTAGTTATATCTAATCAGCCTTCAGACTGTGTGCCAATCCAGAACATCTAGCCTCAACCCACTGTGAATCTCTGCAAGCAAAGAGGAGCAATAAGCAAAATCCTGATCGTGTGATCTATAGGCTGCCTACTAGAACTACTTAATAATATGAAAACAAAGCCTGCTGTAAGGTGCAAGAATCCTGAATCCTTATCTTCAAATTGTTTTTTCCTTGCCTCTTGCTGATTAAAGAGAAATACACTAATATTGAATGAAAGTAATTAGCAATAGCACTTAGACTTATGTACCACTTCACAGTGGTTTAAAGCTCTCTCTAAGCGGTTTACAGAGTCAGCGTATTGCCCTCCCCCCAACAATCTGGGTCCTCATTTTACTAACCTTGGAAGGATGGAAGGCTGACTCAACCTTGAGCCGATCAGGATCAAATTCCTGGCAATGGGCAGACTCAGCCTGCAATATTGCATTTTAACCACTGCCCCACCACAGCTCTTATAAAAAAAATAACTAATTTCCGAAACAACTTTGATGAAAAGTGAAAGCCCCTGAATACCTTGCTATTTTGATGATGATGATGATGATGATGATGATTTTGCAAACTTCTGTAAAGAACCACTTTGGTAAAGAGCAGTGCAAGCTGGATAATAAATAAACAGAGAATTGAACTTACTTAAAATGGAAGTCTGCACAATTTTGCTGTGCTAGCTAGAGAGAACAAGGATTACATTTTTTCACAGAGATGAAATTGACTTTTTATTCCAGCCATCACTGCCATTCAAAAATATTTCTTTTATGTCCTTTCACATTTCTAGTCCGCTACCAAAAACCATATTAATAATTGATTATGGTTTTCTATACTGCAGCTGTAGCTAATATGGTTTCAGTTGGAAAACATGACACTTTGCTTAACTAATCTGAAAGAATAAATGTTCTGCAATAAAATATTAATTGGCATTGGTGATACAAATAATAAATTGATAGCAGATTTTGTATGCATGCTCTGGTCAGCATGCTGGAATTCTAGGCATTTGAAATTCTGGTTCTCAACTGTGAAACAATGTGCAAATTAACACGTATGTATTTCCACAGATGGTTTGATTAATAGGATGTTTTAGAGAGTTGCAGAGGATTTGGCATGTAAGGAAAAGATAACACATAACTGATTGTTACCATAGCATTATTAGGCAACACTAGTGATTGTTTATAATAATAATAATCTCGAGGTGTGCAGACCATTTTGAAATGTAAGTGAATTCAAAACCTTTTTTTAGTCCAAAGCTCTCTATTATGAATGTTCTAAAACTGGAAATGTTTTAAGATCAAATGCTTCTTTTTTAAGCTCAAATATTCCCCATGATCAAAACAGATATTTTCATCCTCAAAACAATAATGCTGCACTAAATATGAAGAATTCCAAACTCAAAGCAGAGAATTTCAAATCCAGAATACTTTGCAAAGTTCTGTAATAATCCCAAGAAAAACCTCTTGTGGTATTTTCTATCCCAGATAGTTTGATCTAACTTTGATTCTATACAAGTTCTAACAGAGTACAGACCATCTGCAGAGAGTAACAGCAGCTTACTCTGTGCCATCTTGACATTTTTTTATCACACCTTGAAGGTGTCCCTTTATACTAGTTTGTTTTCTGATTTATAAACAATCTTTAGTGAATTCAGACCAAAAATTGTTTTCAACAGATCTACTGCCTTTTGCTGGTTATTTCCATTAATCACAGTTTCCATTTGCCTTACCTGTAGTTCATCCGTACCCGGTAAGTGTACTATATTACAATAAGGCAGGAGTGAAGATGGGGGGCCGAAACTGCACCTAAAGAGGTGCCCCATGTTCTGAATACATGGAAATAATTCTGTCTTCCCATAAGTCTAAATAGCTGGCAAAGTGTGATGGCCCAAAACTAAGTGTATTTGCAGATTTAGCTAATCAGGTCCTCTCAATGCATCTACATAGATAGTAAACTTTTTACTTTCTTTTCTAGAGCAGGGACATTGTTTAAAAAGAGGAGGAGGAGGAGGAGGAAGAGGAGGAGGAGAATGTTTGCTCTTATCCATTGGTGGTTTGAAATGGACTGCATAATTGCTAATCACACAAGGAAAAATGCATTTAGTGGAATACATTTGTTTTTAATGGAAGGTAGTTTGTATTTTACAGCTGAAGGCTGGTGCATCTAAATGTTAAATTCTTCATCAAAACAAAAAAACCCGTAATGGTTTTTCTCTAAAGCATAAATTGGAAATGATCCAATTCATGATCATCCTTACAGAAGGAATAGATAACTGATGTACATAAGGTGCTTTGGTTTACAGCAGTTATAAATGCCAGGCACTATCACCAATGTCAAGGGATTTACAGGAAGAACAGTTTCAGATCTCTACTCTAATGGGGATTGGATTTCCCAAAACAGCTAGGAAATGCAGCTTTCTTTGAAAATGGCTATTATGCAGTTTCCTTTCCCTTGCTACAAAAATTTCTGAGAGATCATATTGACCACATATATTTGGATTGGCATTGGGAAATATCTAATGATCTATATTCAACAGTTTTCAATAAATCTGAATACTGACTAGCTTGGAATAATTTGACTAATCAAAGAAGCATCAATAACATGAGGGCATCATTCTGGAAAGAGGTAGCAGGTTTTCCCCTCTGTACCCTTCACAGTAATGGAAGAATTTGTGATGAGCATAGTATCCATCTCAGAAACAGGATGGATGACTGTAAGCCAAGTCACATAGAAAAGAATTTCCCAAGGGAAAAGCAGAAACAATTGTTTTATAGAACTGATGGCATGAAAAATGGCGAGAAGGGTAGTATGAGGGCTTTGATTGTCATCTGTGCCATAAATTTGGCATTAAATCATGGGCACCCAGGGAGGAGAAGGGGACAAATATCATCATGAGGTTAGCATGTCAATAAAATTATTTAAGTACTTTAGTTGGAACTCATGACATCATTGCATCATTGTACCATTTGTATGACAATATCATGGCACAATGACTTATCATTTTGACATCATTATGACTTGTTATGGATTTTGCTGAGCAACAATTTCCAGTTTAAGATCATTGAGGTCTTTAATTTTGTTGAAACTGTTGGCTTTGTAAGAGTCTAGTTTGATAAATTAGGACCAATTGTAAACCTAATCTATCTGACCAGTATAGCAGCATTCCAATATCTCAGGGGTTGCCACAAAGAAGAGGGAGTCAAGCTATTCTCCAAAGCACCTGAAGGCAGGACAAGAAGCAAGGGATGGAAACTAATCAAGGAAAGAAGCAACCTAGAACTAAGGAGAAATTTTCTGACAGTCAGAACAATTAATCAGTGGAACAATCTGCCTCCAGAAGCGGTGAATGCTCCAACACTGGAAGTTTTTAAGAAGAGACTGGACAACCATTTGTCTGAAATGGTATAGGGTTACCTGCTGGAGCAGGGGTTTGGACTAGAAGACCTCCAAGGTCCCTTCCAACTCTATTATTATTATTATTATTATTATTATTATTATTATTATTATTATTATTATTGATCATTGCACAGTCAGCCAGATGTTCAGACTGGATTTGGCATTTTGTCTACCTATCAAGTCCTTACCCAGAACCTGGGATAGGCAGATGTGGATGTTTGATGGTATTACAGATATCGTCGCAGGATGGAACAGTTCCTAGTAAGGCCGCCTTTTGCAATTGACTAATAGTGAATTTGTCAATGCCAATGGTGTTCAAGTGGTGCTCCAGTTGTTTTGGGATTGCACCCAAGGAGCCTATCACAATTGGTACTACCCTTGCTTGCTTTTGTATTATTATTATTATTATGGATCATCGCACAGTCAGCCAGATGTTCAGACTGGATTTGGCATTTTGTCTACCTATCGAGTCCTTACCCAGGACCTGGGATAGGCAGAGGTGGATGTTTGATGGTATTACAGATATTGTCGCAGGATGGAAGCAGTTCCTAATAAGGCCGCCTTTTGCAATTGACTAATAGCGAATTTGTCAATGCCAATTGGGTTCAAGTGGTGCTCCAGTTGTTTTGGGATTGCACCCAAGGAGCCTATGACTATTGGTACTACCCATGCTTGCTTTTGCCACAGTCTTTCTATTTCTATTTGTAGGTCTTTGTATTTTGTTATCTTCTCCAGTTCTTTCTCTTCTATTCTGCTGTCTCCAGGCACTGCCACGTCCACTATCCAGACTTTTTTGTCTTTCTTATCTACAATTGTTAAGTCTGGGGTGTTATGTTGCAGGTGCTTGTCTGTTTGAATTCTGAAGTCCCAGAACAGTTTAATTTTATCATTTTCTATGACTTTCTCTATTTTATGATCCACCAGTTTTTGCTTACAGGCAAATGATATTTTTTGCAGATCTTCCAATGCACCATTGTTGCTACTTTGTCATGCCGCTGCTTGTAATCAGTCTGTGCAATCTTCTTGCAACAGCTTACCAAGTGGTCCACTGTTTCTTCAGCTTCTTTGCATAGGCGGCACTTACTGTCTGTTGCTGTCTTCTCAATTTTGACTTTGTATGCATTTGTCCTTAAGGCTTGGTCTTGTTCAGCCAGAATTAGTCCCTCGGTCTCTTTCTTCAATTTTCCTGCTCTTAGCCATTGCCAGGTCTTGTTATTATCTGCTTTCCCAGCTATTTTTTTCATGTATTGGCCATGTAGTGCTTTGTCTTCCCATTTATTATTATTATTATTATTATTATTATTATTATTATTATTATTATTATTATTATGTCTGACAGCCTAATTTTTGTGTCTCACATTCGCACATTTCTGAACCTGGCCTGCCAGCCTACATAAGAAGTCCTAAGGCCCATATTTTACATGGGATATGCTTACTTACAAAGTAAATGGATTTCACAGCTATTCCAAAGTAAATGGATTTCACAGCTAAACATTATGAGTTCTACTATTTGTTTTCCCTTAAATATACATTATTTATGGTTTATTGCTGTTCTTGATTTTTGCAGGAATTGATTATCTTCATCCAGATTTGGCTGCCAATTATGTAAGTATAACATTTCCTTCAGGTTACACTTCTATATTTTTCTGGCTAGTCATTTTTATATTAAATAGTTGATGCTTAAGAATATCAATAGCATAACTATTGTTGATTTAGGTGACAAAATGGATACATAAAATATGTACTCTCCATAATAAACATAGGCAAGGAAATTCCTGTTTAATCTGACAATTTGTGAATTGTAGCAGATATAGGTTCCGTATAGGAAATGACATGGCTTTCAAATGCCAAATACATTTTATTAGTAATATTTAAATGTGCATAATCTCAAAATCTTTATGTAAAGTATCAGTCACATAATGGTACCCAGCCAAGATAATTTACAAAAAGTTATTACCTGAATTGGAATTCTTTCATATTTAGAAGACGCTAGAATGTGATGAGAATTAAAAAAAAAAAAAACCTTATCAAAGTGCACCCCATGGAAGAAATTTGGTCTATGCAAAATAAAATATTTGGGTGCAAGATCACATTTTTAAAATCTGGCAAGAGCTTATGGCAGGGAATTAATATATTCATATTGCACAAATGCTTGTAAAAGTGAGAGAAGTAATAAATCCTGGAAGGGATTATTGCTTTTCAAATAAGGTACCATAGGTCCCAAAGTTAGTTCCCATTCACTGAATAGGTAGAAAAGGTTCAGATTTCATCGTTTTCATTTAAAACATTTCAAGTGGCAAGGCTGGGACAAATTATGTCTGACACCTTGGTTAATTCCTATCAGTAATAGGAAATAATTTGGGTTAGGTAGACCAAGGGCTTGTCTCAGGAGAAAACAGCTCTGCTGCTAAACTCAGATCATGAAAATAAGTCTTCATCAAAAAATAAAAGAAGGTTAAGACTAGGGATTAATTTACCAATTGATTTGAATAAAAAATCTGTTAAAGAGACAACAGCAGACCGGGCAACCCTTTATCAGCTTACTACTTTATTCTTCAATTGTTTAAATAAACTTTTTTTTTTTAATGGAGCATAAAATAAAGTGATTAGAGTGAGTATGGAAAAAATGACAAGAAAGACAGATGGATGGATGGAAAGGCAGATAGTTGGACAGATGTGGAATGCAATTTACAGAAGACGCACAGTTATTTTTATTATACTTAAACAGTTCACTTTTTTCCAGCAGAATATGCAAGAATCAGAGCTCAGTTCAGTAAAATTTTATTGTGTGGCCATGATGTACATTGTACCATATTCCAAATCCAATTGTGCATTGTTTTTTTTTTAAAAAAAGACTAATTTTTAACTCATTCTTTTTGTATTGGTACTGTAGGCTTCAGGCCAACTGCATAATAATCAGAATGCCTAGAGAGGGAATCATCTTAGAGTTAGGCTGAATTTTTGTTCATTCTAGTAAATAAACAAAATGAGGGCAACATGGAGGAATCTTTCAACATGCATTCAAGTCTGAGAGACAGCAGGTAAAAGCAGAGCTTTATGGAATGAAGGATAATTGCTTCAGAATGATCCCATTCCTTGAAAATGGCAAGTCTTTTAATTTAGGGATAGACCTTCATTCAGGTAGTAGATATAATGAAAGGACAATACTGGGCCTTGTGGTACTTTAACATTATATACATATCTTACAGTGTCTGATTACTTAATAACTTACTTCTCTGATCCTTTCACTTTTGAGGTTACAAAATGTTATGCAGTAGATGCAGGGTCAATTTACAACTTTATTTTAAGGTGTTTTTTTTTAAAGCTAACATAAATAATGTTGCTTCAACAGAAAGAGGAAACTTCCCTAGAAAAAGATTTGTTATAATTCAAGACTCCTATTAGCATTTAGCCTACCCTTCTAGTAACTGGGTGGGTTGGGTTGAAGTCACAAATACAGAGAACCCATTCCAGCTCCCTATTTTCTCTTTGGGGTAATAGCAATACCAACAGAACTTACACTTATGTACCTGTGTGTGTGTTACCAAAATAATGATCACTAAGAGAATATCTAAAAATAGAATTTAATCAACCTAGCTTTCGTCAAACACACTTGACATCGTCAGGGTTAAAAGGTAAATGCTGAGAGGTCTTATATACAGTTGTTAAGTGCCTGTTTCCGGCTCCTGGAGCGTGTCATTGGCCCCAGCTGATTGAACTGCATTCCGAGTGCACCTCCTACGTCAACGCACATTCCTTTCTTTTTCCTAGTTTCTGTTCCTTCGCACGCTGCTCTACCCACCATTTCAGAGTTGGGCAGATACGGGATTGGGATATTCCCTCCTCCCTTGTATAGAGTTCCTCCACCGCCCTGTATGCGGCTTCCTCTAGGGAGCAGGGGAGGGTTAAGTCACCTTCCGTGTTACCATGGACTTCAGACTTGTTTTGTTCTTGTTTACTTATCCCTAGGAGCCCCAATGTGAGTTCCCTCCCCCACTTCATGTTACTCTCCCTCCTGTCCTCCTTCCCGTGCGTCGTCCTGGGTGATCTATTATTCATTCCAGCCCCTCTTCTCTCACGCCCGCCCAGAATGTACTCTGTTGCAGTCCATTGATAGCACTCTGCTATATATATATATGCAGATCTTGGTGTATTCGGGTCTTTTCCCGTCTAAGATTGAGAATATCTTGGCGACGTTTCACAGGAAAAGACCCCAATACACCAAGACCTGCATACCTATACCCGTGAAAATCTATGAAAACACACACACACACACACACACACACACACACACACACATATATATATATATATATATATATATATATATATATATATATATATATATATAACAGTTAAAAAACACGATCACCAGGAGAATATAGGTATAAAAATATACTTTACTAAAAATGCCAAGCTTTCGTTGGGGAGGCTCCCAACATCATCAGGGCTGAGAAGACAGTAAACAATGATGACTTAAAAGGGTTTGGCTGACATTTGCACCCGGCTCTTGGACCGCGTCACTGGTCCTGGCCGGTCTCATCCACTTGTATCACGCGTCCCTCATCAGAGCTTAAACAAGCCTCCGACTCTCCGCTCATCCATATCCATGGTCTAGGAGGATCCTCGATCTTATTACAACTTGAAATGTCATCCCCATTGGATGAGTCACTCAATCATGCAGCAATTGCAGGGAATGCTATGATTGGCCAACCTGGACCTATTACACGGTCCAGGAGTTGAGCGCAGGCGTTAACTTACATATAAATGTTTACTCCCATTGATTTGTGTATGCCCTGATGAAGTTGGCAGGAGCCAACGAAAGCTAGGTTGCTAATTTTTAAAAACTTTTAATGTTTTATTTAAAACTTCTGTTTTATATTAAAACTTTTAATGTTTTAACTTTTCCTGGTGATCATATTTTATTCTCACTATACATACATATATATATATATATATTTGCTTGGCCAGGGACAATGCAAGGAATATATACTTTCATCATCTTTCCAACCTTCCCATGTACAAATTAATTGCTGTTATCAAAAATAATTCATCCGACTGTCTGTCAAGCCTGTGGCAGCTGCACCTTTAGATGTTGGTGGCATTTACACAGTGGGGTAGCTTGATGCTATAGTGACTCATGCTGACGATAGATGGAGTCATGTTCATCATGATTTAACACATCTTTGAAATCTCCCCCCAAGAAACCTTCTGTTGAGTGGGAAGAAAAGGCACATGCTGCCAAAAGAAGAAAATTAAAAGCGGGGCTGACGAAATATTGCACAGGATAGGTGACATTTACAACTGCCCTTTTGAATTTCCTCTGGCAGCACAATGTTATACAACACAATGTGACGGAATACATAATGGGCAATTTAAACAGAGGTGACCAGAAAGAACAGCACAGTTAGGATGACTTTTAGTTACACTCTTTGGATGGGGAGAGTGGCATTTCCACTTTGTCTACCATTGGCTGGAAACATTTGAGTCTAATGAAGGAGATTCAATAGAGAGATCTGAAGGACATCATCAGAAAGAGAGATTACCTATATCCCTTCAGTAAGAAGGAATATGAAGCAGTAGACTGAATGGAGAAGATCTAGGTTATTGTCAAAATACTTAGTATGACTGAGAGAAATACAGGGGTGAGCTAGATGGACCAATGGCATGGCTTTGCAGGATGGTGAATACATTCCCTCATTGAATTAAGCCATAAATAATAAAATTCATATATTTATCATATATATTAATGAAATTGAGCTGAACACCTGAAAGCAGGTAGAGTCTGACCAGTTTGTAGAATACAAACTCATAATATATATTAAAACAGCAGGTAGAGATAAAAAAACTAAAATTATAGAATTATGGAAGATACTCAATCAGGGTAAGCTTAATTCCCAAAGGCCTTACAGAAGGGCCATGTTTCTACCTGCTTCTGAAGGTCATGAAGATGGGGTCCATCTGTGCTTCAGGAGGCAACTGTGATTCCTAAGTAGACCAGGTCAGGAAACAGACATTAAAAGAATTAGTGAAACTCTACTTGCAAGGTAAGTTAAAAGAATGTTGAAAGTCAAAAGGTTTTCCTCTGCCCCCTCTTATACTAAAGAGAATCAATGTGGGATCATCTTGAATTTCATTCTCACTCCCTCTTTCTTCCCAGAGCTAAGCTGTTCTTCATGCAACTCTTCTTGCATTCCTTAGTTTAGACATATCCTGGGTGGTGGAGGGGTCTAATTGAGCAATTTATAAATCCTTGAAAGTCAAGGATCCAGTTTAGACTTGACACTGCTGAAATGCTTGTGGAAAATAATGGAATCTGGGTGGTTTTTGTTTTGTTTTTGTTTTGGTGAGGGTAATAACATTATTTGAGTCTGGGAAAAGGGACAATTGGGTCAAACAATTAAAGAATCACTGCCCTAAACCATGGTTTTCCAATGGTATCACACTAAGCTACAACCTAATAAATTATTGTGAGTTCATTTAATGTGAGAATCCAAATGGTGTCTACCATTTCTCTTTCCTAACTGAAACTGCTTCTGTCACAACAATCATTCTGGAGAGATGCCGCATGACACCTTTCTCTTCCATCTCTTTGACATTTTTCT